TGTTATTGATTTAGTTTCGTACTAATTCTGTTGGTAGAATAAACTAGAATTTATTTTTCAGTTTGTAGTTGGAATTATTATTAATTCTAATTTAGTGTGTTAAACGAAATCATGATTGTCAGTGGTCACGAGCCACAATGAGAAACTTGTAAAATTCTATGGATAGAATTTTAAGGTGTGACAATATAATATGTTTTTCTATTTGACCATGTTAAATTTGACTAAATATAGGATGATCCTCCTATTATTAGAGAGAATGAGGTAAATGTTGTTATTGCATTAAGTGATGTTAAAATTTGGAAGTATTATGACTTCCTATATTGGAAATACAACCTGAACGTATTATCGGATACAATATATAAGTTGTATAATATCCATGAGATGAATAAATTAATTATGGATAACACTAGATCATAGATACAAAACGGAAGATGCTAGTACTAATGAATTATTAGTGACCAAGTTTTTAAAATTTGTCATAATGACACAAACGAAAGAGAATAAATATTTTATTACCTCTATTGATGATAACATAAAAAATGCTATGTGGGTTTGCTAAAAGAAAAAAAGTGAAGTTATAAAGAATTTTGTTATAAATAAGAAGTTGAAAACCAACTTAATAAAAAGATTAAGATGGTAAGAAGTAATAATGGTGATTAATACGTTCAACCATTTGATGAATATTATTTATAACAATATATTATTCATAGAGTAACAACATCAAACTCTCCTAGATCAAATGGACTAGCCGAAAGGAAAATCAGACTCTAAAAAATGATGAACACAACACTATGAAGTTTTGAGTTCTCACAGAATATATGGGGGAGAGAAGAAGTTGTTCTATCAACTAATTACATTTTAAATAAGGTGCCAATGCAAGAAAAAGGACAAGACACCATATGGGATGGTCTTGAAAAGGTAATGACCATATTACCAAAACAAATAAAAATAGGTCCTAAATGATGGATTGTATTTTCATTAACTATCTTACTATCATAGAAGGATAGACTGATGCTATTTGAAATTTGATATTTAAGATATCAATGACACAAGTGAATATGTTTCACAATGGGAGAATAAATTGTGTCATGGAAATCCTTATGAAATCGGTTATAACAAAATTCATAATGGAATCTGATTTTGTAGCACTAGATAAGTCTAGAGAATAAGTTGAATGACTTTTGAATTTCTTGGAGGATATTCTTGAATGGCTGAAGCATGTGCCCACAGTATGCATATACCGTGACTAGCATAAAATTTCAAGTAAAATGGTAAGTTGAGACATATGTGTCGTCAAGTAATACCATAGACAATTGATCTTATATGGAATTATCTCTATTGATTTTGTAAGATCAAATGATAATATCATGGATCCACTAACCAAAGTGTTGAATTGAAATCAAATTGAGAAAATAACTAAAGGAATGAGACTAAATCCCATGAAATTTAAAAGTTTTATGTAAAAGAAAATCCTACCTTGTTGCGTGGAGATCCCAAGATCTAGGTTCAAAGGGACAACCTAATTGCATAAACCATGCACAATCACTATGGGGGTTTCTTATCCAAGTATGTTCTTATGATGTAAATACTGATCAAAGTGGTAAATGTTAAGCAAAGCTTTTAATGACTATTTTGTACTTCGGTGAGCCGAGCAACATAAACCACCTATGTTAGAGTGAAGTGGGGTCGCTTCAAGGAGACTATTGGGCATAGTTATTTCAAACTCTTGCAGAATTAGACGATGTCTATGACTTTAAAGACATACCCATGAGAATTAAAATTCTTGTTAGAGAGGTAGTCGTGTGAAGTATGTCATCATTTACACAAACAACACAATAGTTTAAGGCCATCGCGTCTACTGTTTAGTCAGTAAAGTAAATATATTGTCACAATGGAAGGTTCAAAGGAGAACACCTACGTATCCTATGTAACTATCGATGTCAAGTGTACACCACATCGTGTTGAAATGTTTTTGATAAGTCATTCATTTTGTTCATGTCAGGGATTGTTGGAAAAATAGTGAATTTCATTTATTAATTTAATATTTAAATTAAATTCATATTTCTTTTGACAATTAGAAATTAAAAGATATTTTTAATTTGAATATTAGTAGAATAATTACTCTTTTAATATGTCAAATTAGAAGTTATTTATTAGCTATTTAACTTTGACTATTCAAGATAATCATACACTTTTAAATATTTCAAACTAAAATAATATCTTTTTAATTTTGAATAGTAAAAGTTGTCTATATCTTTTGAATATTTCAAATTAAAAGATATTATTATCTATTTAAAATTGAATATTAAAAGACATCTAATTGGAGTAAATCTATCTTGAAAATCCCCTATAAATATTGTGTTAAACTACTGAGTTAAACACAAGTTTTTACATCTGTTCAACAATTCAAAACAAGTTTTGATATCTTGGAATTCAAGAACTTCTTCTCTTTCTTGAAAAATATTTTCTCTCATTCTCTAGTTTTTCGGTGATAAGCAAAGGCAAAAAATAATTTGTAATCTCAAAAGTTTGTGCCATTGTTCGTTGATCATCGAGTTGTTGTATCTTGAGAGACAAGCGACCAAACGAACTCGAGCACCAAAAGAGTGGCCGAAAATCACTCTTAAGGAAACTGTGTAGCAACATGTCTCAACTGTTTTTAATGAACAAATCAAAATAAAAGGATTATTTTCATTTGTATTTATTTTACTTTAATTTTAATGAAGTTTAGTTTCTTTTATTTTATTTTCTCAGGTCCGATTTCATCTAAGATTGTTATTTTGCATAACTGCGTGGAATGTTAAAATTATGAAATCAGACACTTGGGAATTGTTGAAGCTTTGAGAGATTGTCCAGTAGATTATTGTGTGGGAGAAGTAGGAGAGACGAGGAGGAGAGGAACAAGGTGGTGATGGTGATGGGCATTTAAAAAAAATTAAAATTATAAATTTTTTGGGTAAATTAGATATAAAATCATTGTTGAATGATCTATTTGATATTTTAGCAATAGTTTAGGTGTAATACTAAATATTTACCTTTTTGTTAATGTTGACACGTCATCAATTTAATGAAGATGAATGTATAATGATCATTTTGTAATAAATCAATAACGTTAGAAACTAATATATTATTTTTGAAATTTCAGTGGGGGAAATGAAAACTTACTCAAACTTTAGTGTGTAGTTTACCCTTGTGTGTATATATATATATATATATATATATATATATAAATGTATGTGCATGATTTGGTATCATATTCTAATTGTTTTTTGGCATAATGTTTTTGTATCATTTTATGCATTGTATCTAAAATTACCAGATGTAATGTGATGTTTAAAAGATTTTGAAGATAAGAATATAAGGATCAATTAAAAAGGAGAGTCTTATTGATATTGACCAAACATAGAACGAAATGGAATCAACTTGACGTGGCACACATTAATTGGGAATCCAATTAGCCAACCATAATCAAATATTCCCATCACAAGAATATGCCACTACAAACCTATTGCCATAGAAAAATGTCATTATACCCTAACTCTAGTCTTATGCCATACTCTAATAGCAAATGATCCCACCAAAGTTATTGCAAAAGGCAAAAGGCAATGCTCACAAGGAACACTCAAAAGACTGGTTTAAAAGGGTGGGGCATGGCTAACTATAGTGACCAAAGGATATCGGGTATAGTTGATGGTAATATTTGATATTATAATGATTATAGGTTATTTATCTTTTTAAATTTAAGCGAGGACGATAGTTTTAGAAAGAGTGACGAACAACAGATGTAAATGTTATCTGACCTAAAGAGAATCTCTGTAATACACTCTTTTCATCTTGTATATGAATTTAATCTCAAAGTATAATAATAATTTTTTAATCATCGAAGTCATTTAGTTCATATTTATTATTATTTTTTAAATTATATTATTAAAATAGATATTCAAATATATTGTGATGACATAATTTTATTATGTATGAGATGAGATATTGGAAGGGAAGGGGAGTGGGTGACAGAGGCATGTGAGTGACCCACCACCCCTTCCACTATCACCGCCCCTTTCTCTAATCTGTAATAGGCCCGTGGACTGGATTTCTTGGTTGGCTTCATATCAACGCTAACTGCCAAATAACCCAACCACACCAATTAAACCAACACACCAACAATTAGATTTTACCATTTCTATATTATTTTTTTATCTTTATAAATTTATTTTAGTGTTTAAATTTATATAAATTTTGACATAATATATCGTATACAAGTTACATGTGACAATTTTTCTTTGTAACAATTTTCTTTAATTTTAATATATATTTTTATCATGTTTATTTTACATTTCTAAATTATCAAATACACTCATGTATGATAAAACATAACTCACATTAATTTTTAATTATATGGTGATTATAAAATAACATTTACATATAAATTTTTAGTTATTGACAAACGTGCATACAACTTGATATAGTTATAACCCAAATTTTAAAAGAAAATAATACTCTTTTCAGTTTTTAAAGTCACTCAATGGGTTCTCCCCCCACATTATTTATTACATACATATTAAACAATTAATAATCAATTAGTTTATTGAGATAATATAATATATTCTTTAAGTAAGATCATAAGTTTAAATTTTAACTTTATGAAAAAAATAAATTAAGTTAGAACGACCATCCATAATATGTTTATGAAAATTTTAAATTATTATTTATTATATATATTTTTTATTAATAATATATTTTCGTCCTCTAAAAATTTTATAATTTGTTGTCCTTTAAATTTTTAACAACCTATACCCTATCATAAAATCAGGTATTTATCTTAATTTTTAAAACCTTATTTGAAATAGTTTTGTAATTTAAAAAAAGGAAGTAAAAGGGGTTAGTATTTAGTATCATTAACTTAATTGACAAAGCTAGCAGTTAACTTGGTTGCCCACTAACCTTTACCCTAAGCCTTTGCTTTCCTATTTTCTCTCTAATGCTAGTGGCTCTCTTTCTCTACTCTCCTTTTCTTTTGGTTGGCCACCACTCCAAACCCTGCCTTTTCTTCCCCCATTTTTATTCTATTTCTGCTACTTCACTCATTTCTTTCTTTTCAACCCTCCCTCCACTAAAGCCCCTTTTTTTCAAGCTTAAACTTCTTTAGTGGGTGTGAATACACAATGTTAGCAGCTAAACGAGACTAAAGACGTTTTTTTAGTACAAGGAGAGATGGACAAAGAAACTAACCTAGAAAACCAATCTCTCCTCTCAAACAATAACATTTCCATCACCAAAGAAGACTCTTCCCCAAAAAAACACCCTGCAAACACCGCCGGAGGCGGCGGAGATAGGCTGAAACGTGATGAATGGAGTGAAGGAGCTGTGTCGAGCTTACTTGAAGCTTACGAAAACAAATGGGTGCTTCGAAATAGAGCAAAACTTAAGGGTCAAGATTGGGAAGACGTGGCTCGTTATGTTTCGGCTCGGGCTAATTGTACCAAGTCTCCCAAGACTCAGACTCAGTGCAAGAACAAGATCGAGTCCATGAAGAAAAGGTACCGATCGGAGTCCGCCACAGCTGACGGATCGTCTTGGCCTTTGTATCCGCGGCTTGACCTTTTACTTCGTGGCAGTACTGCACCTCCTCCTCCTCCGCCACTGCCGCCACAGCTGCAACCGTCAGCAGTTCCTCAAGCAGCTACTCCAATTTCCACTAACCCTCCTCGGATGAGTTTACCGGAGCCGGCCATGATGGTGGTGCTACAGCAACAACATCAGCCACCTGCTCCACCACCACCACAGCCGCCGCAGCATTTGGCTCCTCAGCTTCCTGGACATACACAAAATTCGCATAGCTCCAATGGTATTGATAGGATCCCAAAGGTCAGTAAGAATTATATACACACAATCTTTTAAATTGTCCTATTACATGAATTTAAGATTTTCTTAAAAATATTATTTTTCCCAATTAGAAGAAGATATTTAATTCTAATAGGGTATAATAAAGAAAAATAGTGTATATGTAACTTTACTTCATGGTTTTGATTCTAAAAAGGTGAAAATCTGAACTTACATATTTTTCATTCCATGACAGCAAAACCTATTTTCAGAAGAGTAGTTTCTTGTTAAAAAAGAAGAAGGCTAAGTACCCATTTCCTCCATTTTTTTTTAGCCATGGCATCTTTTACAAAGCAAGAAAAAGACCATTGAAGACCTTGTACAAAGTTCTTTGTTTTATTAAGGGCACCATGCTATCACATTTAATTAGTACTTGGATTTGAACAATTATGTCTACAAAATGTGTGCATTGTTAATAGGTTAAGATTCTGAACATATATTATCTTGTATTGATTATAACAGGAGGATGGGGCGGGAACAAGAATATCGGATCATTTATCGGATAAGATAGCTATGGAGACATATAGTAGCACACCGACTCTTTACGGTGAAAATGAAAGACCGAGGACGAAGAAATTGAAGACGACGAAGAACAAGAAGAGAAGGAACGAAGACGAATGGGAAATAGCTAAGAGCATTGAATGGGTAGCACAAGTAGTTTTAAAATCAGAACATGCAAGGATGGAAACCATGAAAGAAATTGAGAGAATGAGAGTTGAAGCTGAGGCTAAAAGAGGAGAAACGGACCTCAAAAGAACTGAGATCATTGCCACCACTCAACTGGAAATTGCTAGGCTCTTTGCAGCATCAAATAAAGGAGTTGATTCTTCATTAAGGATTGGAAGAAATTGATTACTTGTTATGATTATTAGTGAACAAAAATCTAATTAATTATACCTTTGCATGAGTAGGTTTTGTGTATTGACAATGAGCACCCCCTAGAAATCAAGGGTTAACTTTCAATAGACTAATTAATTAATTAGATAAGGGTAGTGGGGTAGGTAAATAGCAATTTCTACCTCATTTATAAGCTAAAATGTTTACTTTATATGCAAAGAAAAAATGTACAAGCATAATCATAGTAATTGTTGTGTGCAAGAACTTTTAAGTTAATAAATGAATTAGAAATGGTGCGTATGGAGTTAATTCAATTTGCATATTCCGATCTATTCACTCTTTCATGTAATTAGTTTTATTTTTCCTTAAAATTAAGGTTGCAAATATGATTTTCCTTCCATTTCTTTTTACAAACATAACTTTAAGATTAAGGCTGAGTTGTATGATATAGTTTGGGGTGAGTCAAATCCGATGTCCTCAAGTACTGGTCCACAGCGACTAGTTCTTACTAAAATATGGACAACTTTATTATGGTTCATTCCTACATGTCGAATATTAATTTCCCAATCCTGCTTCAGGAACTTATGGGTAGCTTCAATGGAAAGTCTCGTGCGGCAGTGTTAATATACGGTTAAAAAAAGGCGTTATCGATTTGTTATTATTTTTTAATAAAACCGGTAAAAAATTATCGGAAACATTATTATTTCTATCTGTTTTGTTAACATATCCGGTAAAACGCTACCAGTTTTGTTATTTTTTCTACCTGTTTTGTTATTATTGGGTACTTTACCGGAAATGTTAAAAAACATTAATGTTTTAGGTAATTTTTTACTGGTTTTGTTAAAAATAATAATAACAAAACCGTTAACGCATTTCCTTACCGTATATTAAGCCTGCGGTACGGTAGAACTTACCTAGCTTCAACTATTGAATTTTCTTCTAGTATCCTAATATCGTCTTTAATCGCCTTAATTCCATCCATGCAATCAATTTCCAATATTTTATTTTCATCTTTAAACATACATGCATATATATATATATATATATATATATATATATATATATATATATATATATATATATATATATATATATATAAACTAACCCCTCTAGTTCTCTTTTAAAGTACTATCTTAGGCCGCGACTTAGTGCCATCGTCTCTCCTTTTTTATTTTTATTTTCTTTATTTTTTATTCCGATATAAATAAATATCGTTCATTTTTAATTTTTTTCTTTTCGTATACTTTTAAGCGTTTATTTTTGTTTTTCTTTAGGGAACAATTATCTGTATGTTTTTATGGCACAATTTTGTCTATCGTTATGATGCTTTGACGTTTCATGTTACATTCATCATGACACGTCTCTTAATTAGAAAAGGTCGATGGTTTCATATGATTAGATACCCTTTTGTGGTAATTTATCAACGCATTTAGAACAGTTCACGGAACAATATGTCAAATTATATCTCTCAATCTCGATGCCTACAACAATATTACGTTTTAACTCAAATAAAGATATCGAAATTATTGATAGTTACTATTTTTTTTAAAGGATAAAGCATCTACCCAAAAAAATATTTTGATTTTATTTTTCTTCACGCACTTTAGATTCCTATATCAGGATTGTGTTGCCTTTTTTATAACTTACTTTTTATTTAACCTATTTTTTTCATAAAAAAAATATTCATCATTTATTGGTTCAAATGTGCATGCTTAATATCCATATTCAAATAGAATTCACAAAGTGATCGTAGTGATTAAAGAAAATGTTGTTATTTCTAGAGATTAAGGGTTCAAACAATTGCGTCTGTAGATATGTATATGTTATCAATGATTAAAAAAATTTAAACAGAGATTATCTTGTAATCACCATAAACAGAGGTGGAGCTAGAAATTTCAAATTGCGGTGTCATAATTTTAAACGATATCTGGATAAAATCATATAACTTGACCACACTATTGAATTCCCTATGGGTTATAATTTATTATGTTCTTGTTTTATTATATATATATATATAGTCAACAGTAATATTTGATCTATTGATTGATTATTTTGAATTAGATTTTAGATGACTTTTAATGTAGTTTTTTCATTCACACACAAACATATATATAATCAATAGTAGTATATGATTTATTAATTAATTAATTCGAATCAGATTTTAACTTGTAACCAAATTTGCTTCATTTATCAATTTGTTTTATCATTCGTGCGATGCAAGGCTCCTTTGTATTTAATAATTCTAACTTTATCAAATTAGGTTTTTGTTATATATTCAAGAAACTAGAACATGTAATTGACAAATTAAACTTACAAAAATGAATAAGGATGTATTTAGACGACAAAACATTATTGTAACAAAATGTAATTACTAGAACTGTAAAGGTCCATAAATTTTGAGTTAACATTATAGAAACTGAACCAAGCTTAAAAACTATAATTCAAGGTGCATTTAGTTGTTAATTTTGTACCTTAACGGGTGAGAATTGAACCTAATATATAATTCTAAGAGATAGTTTTGGTTATAGAAAAAAAAATCAAAAGGAGTAAAAGTATATTTTCCACTTTGAGCCAAATGTACATAAGATTTAAGCCTAAAAAATTGAGGAAATTGAGCTCAGAGTGGTAAAGCCTCAAGGAAAAGCTAAAAGTATAAGAGTTGTAGAGTCAATCACCTGAAGAACAAAGATACAAAAATGAGGGAATTCATGGTGGTTGAGACCTTCTAGGTATCATCAATATATTTCGAAAATGATGTTTTTAAGAAAATATGAATTTTTGAAAAATAAAAATCTGATTCCTAAATCTCTCGCTTAAATAGTCCATGTGATCGTCGGTAAAACCTTCGAGTATGATGTTAAGTTTTTTTTTCTCAACAATATGTTATGTTTTTCAGTCATTTGTAAGACTTTCAGGTATAATCTTTTAAAAGAAAAATTTTAAAAATGATAAATTAATATTTAAAGTTTCTCGCATATTAAATCCTTTGAGTAAAATGTTTTAGAAAGGTAAATTTTTAAAGTAAGAAATTGATTTATAAAGCTCCTCGTCTACTAAGTCTTTCAAGTCATCTTTAAGACCTTTGGGCTTGATGTTAGAATTTTTGGGTCATCCGTAAGACCTTATATGTGTTAAAACATTCAAATATGATATTAAAAATGTAATTATCGAAAAGAGATGATTAAGATAGAATGTATTTATTATCTCCAAAACCCTATCTTATTAGGATGTGTTGGAATAGATTAACAAAACAAGTCTTATCACTTCGAGATGTGCGGAGCAAGCAACCTCCTGTATTCATATATCCTCAATCTGTGTCGAGCGAATCATCAAATTGAGTCATATGCGAATGACCTGGTTCTATTTCTTCAAGATGTGCTAAAGTGACCTTCTAAGTTTACTACATTATGAGCGATATTTTTTTACTGATTTATACCCAAAAATCCAAGATCCAACTTGATCAAATGAAATCAATTGCCTTCTAATCTTTTCTATATTCTTGTTTCATAGTGTCAACACACATTTTCGTCCTATTAGGATTCAAACTCCTAAAAATATGATAGAATTTTGCTAGGATTCAAACTCCTAAAAATAGGATAGAGTTATACTATTATTTAAACTCCTAAAGATAGGATCCACAAGCATTATAAATAGTCATTGTAACTCACTATTGTAACACATTCGGAGGAGGATATACGAAATACCAAGCAAAAAATTACAAGCAACTCGTAGCCATTTTTCGAAGCATTTATATTTTGAAAGGTAAAGTTCATACCATCGCATGTTATTTTTTCTTACCTTTGTTGTATTTTGATTTCGAAAGAAAACTGAGAGAAGTGTTTTTGGCCAATGAACGAGGGCGTTTTCGAGATCTATTTTTGTAGATCTAGTCCCCGAGGCTTGTGTTTTTGAAAAACTATTTAGATTTTTATAAACGGGTCGTGTGGATCCGCGTGTTTTGTCGTTTTTTTCTTCGATTGACTTTTAATTTTAACCCCTAATTTATTTTTTTATTTTAATTTAACCCTTATTATTTATATGTATATATGTATATATTTAATTATATTTTATTTATTTATTTATTATAATTTTTTTCATTTTTCTTTGTGTTATATTATATTATTTTCCTATTATTATATATATATATATATTATATTATTATTTTTTTATCAATGTTTACTTATTTACTATGTTTTTTACTATATTTTCCTAACTTTATATATATATATTCTTACTTTATTTTATTTTATATTTCTATGATTACTATTTTTTAGTTAATATTATATGTATATTTATTTTTCATTTATTTATTATTACTATTACTATTTAGTATTTTATTATATTATACACACATTTTTATATTTTTATATATATTTTTTATTATTTTTATTTATACTATTTATTTATTTTCATTATATTTTTAGTTTCTTTGCTCTTATTATTATTTTTCTTTTTTTAAAAAAACACTTTACCTTTTTTATTCTTTTTGTATATATATTTTATCTTCATTTATTTTATTTTATTCAATTTCATTTTTTTTCATCCAATTATTTTATGTTTATTATTATTGGTCTCATTTATTTCCTTGGTTTAATCTTTAGTTTTGTTATTTTCTTTTATTATTATTATTTTCTTTTAAAATCTTATTTTTAAGGGTATTTTTGTAAACTCATTAAGGGTAAGTAATTCAGATCAAATTTTACCTTTTAATTTAACTTGCAATTTTCTTAATCAAAGACAACTGGAAATTACGTAGTACCGAAAGGACGGTTCAAGGGTGTTAATCCTTCCTTGACTGTAACCGACTCCCGAACCCGACACATCTTTGGAAAGACGCAGATCAGGTAAGAAATAGGGTATCCGATCAACCCATTTGTTTTAAATAAATGATTGGTGGCGACTCCAATCCACATTTTTCAAGTCGAAGCCCAATTTCGGGGCCTAACCGAAAGACGGTTGTGACAGGTTGGCGACTCCACTGAGGAAGCAGGTAAGTGAGTTAGGCTAAGGTAATTTCCAGTTGTCTTTTTAACGAAAAGGGTAAGTTTAAATTTTTAGGTAACATTTCGATCCTTATTGCTTACTTTTGATTATATTTTTCGAGTAAATAGTTGCACTAACCGTTTTCTAATGATTTCAGCTC